CCAAACCTTGGAATTTATCTGAGTCAAGATGGTTGTCCAATGTCTAGGGGTCCTGGTGGCCCAGCGGTTGCTCATTGGGCTGCTAACTGCAAACTACGCAGTTCGAAACCACCAGAGGCAGCAGACAAGGCTTGCCACACCTGTCAAACGTTACAAGCTCTGAATCTGCCCTGTGGAGTTGCTGCGAGCTGGAATCGGCTTAAGGACAGTTGGGTTTAGTTTTGTTGAGAGGAAGCCCTGGGAACGCTGCGAGGCGAAGGTGGGACTGGATGCCGAAACCCACCAGCTGCTCCGAGAGAAAAAGAGGAAGCAGCTTATTTGAAAATATTTGCAACCTTAGAAACCCTATATTGCTGTGAATCATAATCGGCTCCCTAGCAGGGGCCAGTATCCTTTTCTGTTAGGAGATCCCCTCTGTCGACCCATACGCTAACATAAGAAGGCCAGGTAAGAGGAAATGGAGTGAGACTTAAGGTATGTAGGAAAGAAGATGGGTGGCATCAGTGAGACTTAAGGTAGAATTCCAATGTCCACACTGCATATCATATGATCATGAGCTAGTAGTCTCTGTAATCCCTTTGATTTAATATTCTTCTCTATGAAGTGATCATGATGATACTTTATAGTATTTTAACTAATAGAGTCATATATGTTTGGTATAAAGTAGTCCCTCCATAACTGAACCCTCTGTCAATAGTTGACAGTGATGAAGAGCAACAGCTCCGCAGCGACTGAACTTACTACGTGACTACACGTGACCATGTGACATACTACTGTGCCACACACCGCAGCAGCGAGGAAGGGTTTGCAGTATCAAGTGAGGAGATGTCTTTTGTATTTTCAGTTGGCCGTTGGACATAGCTTTCCCATGGATCAGGTGTAATAGATACTAACCGCTCAAGTTCTCTAAGCTGCAGAGTGTGTTTAGGATTATGCTCCCGAGGGTGGAGCACAGAGCTTGGGGGGTGAGGGGGTGGGAGGGCGGGGGAGTCCGTTGTGTAAGTGTTTACTGAATAAAATTGGGAAGCTTTGAAAGTTCTTTTTTTTTTTTAATGAAAGTTCCTAGTACTTAAAATATTCTTATTTTCATACTGATTATCTTTAATGTGAACCCCCTGATTTACACATGGGTGTTCCTCCACAAGTCATTTCTAAGGTAGTGTAAGGCTTGGGCATTCGTTTAAATGCTGCTTAGGTGCAGATATGTCGTCTTTGTTTTAAATCATTTTACGGGGGGGCTCCCACAACTCTCATCACAGTCCATCCATCCATCCATCCATCCATCCATCCATCCATCCATCCATCCATCCATTGTGTCCAGCACATTTGTACATTAGTTGCCATCATTCTCAAAACATTTTCTTTCTACTCGAGCCCTGGGTATCAGCTCCTCACTTTTTTAGACATGTCCTCTAACAAAGGTCATTTAACTCAGTATAGTTTGATTTAAAAAGAAAAGCGCATTTAGTTAAAACAAATGTGAATATGTGGCATTCGAATAGTGAATAAACTTACATATGAAGTGTAAGTTTTATAAAGTAACTATAAATGTAATTTGGAGCCCTGGTGATGTAGTGGTTATACTTTGGGCTGCTGACTGCAAGGTCAGCAGTTCAACACCACCAGCTGCTTCATGGGAGAAAGATGGGCTTTCTACTCCTGTAAATAGTTACAGCCTTGGAAACACACAGGGCCAGTTCTGCCTTGTCCTGTAGGGTCACTATGAGTCAGAATCCACTCGATGGCAGTGAGTGAGTGGTAGATATTAGAAGTGTCATGTTGAGGTTTTGAATAAACTCATTTGGGATTCAAAGGCTAGATCGCCTATGTGCTGACTTATAAAGAAGCCCAAGATATATTATTGTTGGCTAGCAGAAAAGGAAGTTTCATAAATTATCTGTGTAGGGTTTTCCCACTTAAAAATGTAGTATTTGTAGAACACATGTAGAAGAATTTAGGACACTGGGAGGCCGAACCTGGTTAGGAATGAGGGATTCAGAGCCAGAGTGCATGAATTTGAGAGGCATCTCTTACTACAGATGTCAAATTGGTCAAGTGACTTCATCTTTCTCTTTTATTTGTCTCATGTTTAAAGTGGACGTAATAATCACACTTAACTTTTAAAGTTTTTGTTTTTGAGGGTCAAATGAGTCTTCTTCGAATGACATTGTTGTTATTTTCTGGTGCCATCGAACCTTCGCCCCCCTAAGTAACATTGCCCAGTTTTGTGCCATCCTCGGCATTGTGATGTTTGGAGCTATTGTTGCAACCACTGTGTCAATCTGTTTTCTTGAGGGCTTTCTTCTTTTCTGCTGACCTTTTCCCAAGAATGATGTCTTGGCCGGGCTTGATCTCGCCGGATGCCGTGTCCAACGTCTTGCCATGCACACACCCAAGGAGCATTCTGGTTGTATTTCCAAGACAGATCTGTCTGTTCTTCTTGCAGTCCACGGTCCTTCCGATATTCTTCACCCACCCCGGAACTCAAACACACCTGTTCTTCTCCCGTCTTCCTGTTCATCATTTAGATTTCACATAGGCATAGGGAAATGGGAGTACTGTGGCTTGTGTCAGGTGCTCCGTAGTCCTCAAAGTAACACAGGCTCTTTAACACTTTAAAGAGCTTTTTGCAGCAGATTTACCCAATGCAATATGTTGTTTGACTTCTTGGCTGCTTTCATGGCACAGAGAAATCTTCAAATGTTAATATTTGTCTTGAACCAAAGCAAAAGAAAGGTAATTTTTGCTTAAGCACCTGCAGGAAACCTGAACTGAATGCACCTGTAAAGTTCTGGGTTTTAGAAGTCAGAAGCCATGCTGATAAAATAAAATCTCATTAGAATCGAGCACTCTGATTATTCTTCATTAGTTTCCCATCTTCTCTTTCCTTACAGTAGCTCCCATGGCTGGAGCATGGCGGAGAGCTAAGCTCTGTGACAGGGACTCAGCCAGAGATTCAAATAACTAAACCGGTTCGCTGCCCTAATGACTGTTTTAAGTATAAAAAATGATATATCGAAAGGTAGTTTATTGTTTCATACAATTAATGCTTAAATAAGAACAATACGAGAGGTACATGAAACTAGATTATGTTACTTGGCTAAAACAATGGCAGTATTATTTAAGATATTTCCATATTGTGTTATGGCATGTCCCCACCTGCAATAGTCTCACTTTTCTCTGAGCATCGTCATCTGTATGATTTCTCCTTCTCCATCTCTGCACTGTCGGAGTAGGAGCCCAGGTTGAAATAAAGCAATTATAAACTTCTAATTATCCTATCCATGTTCCTGAATCCTCACTTCAAAATATAAATTTAACACAATTTGTAAATGTGATGTGGCCCGCGTGAATCTTGCCTGTTGCACCAAATAGCCAGCGTTTTAATTGTGTTTGACGCCCCTGCTTTAGAAGTAGGTCAGTTATATGAGTCATTGTGTTTGATATGGTAAACACAGACAACTTCTCTTTTCTTAAAAGATAATTGTTCATCTGGAAGAACCTTTTCATTCTGTTGAACTTACAGCAATTGTTCTGACAGTATTTTCAGTTCTTTGAACACTTTGAGGAATTGCAAATTCTCTCATATTGAGGGAATTTGGGCTGTAACATGAAGCTGAAAGGACTGACAGCGTGTCCCCCTCTCGTTGTGTGCCACGTCTTCTCTTTGTCTAGTGAGGTAACAACCGCAAGGGAATACAGATGTAGTGTTACATCAGAAGCACAATGGGTTTTATGAAATGAATAAATAATTATTACAAGCATGGCTCCGTCTAATTTTTATACTGTGAGCGCTCAGGATACGCTGTTGCGCAGATGATTAGGGTTAAGAGTAAGGGATGTGAATTTGTGATTTCCACATCGGGCAGCTGCCCGCTCACCCACTTCAGAGAGAACCCGGCATATTAACAGTGGGTTCGCCAAACTCCACAACAAGTAGGTGTCGGTTCTGCTGACCCGGTGGGAACCGGCTGAATGCCATCACCGGGTACTGGGGAGCATGGCCCACATCCATGTTATATGGTTGGTGTTAGTGTGGGTGGCTGGCTGTGTATTGTGTGCAGAAATGCAGATATGTGAGTATTAAACATCGAACATGTCACTTTGCTCTTCTGTTAGGTTTGTTCTCATGGAGCAGTCGCTTCTGTGGAAAACACTTTTTCGGTCAGAAAATGTTTTGTCCTTTTTTTGTAACGTATACAACTGGTCGGGCTGAGGCTTTCGGCCGAAGAAGCGGAAACACGAGTTGTGAGCGTCCCTATTCCAGGATAAACGTTGACCGGGCGCCTGCGCTGCTTTTCTCTGGCAGCGTTTCTCAACCTTCCCCATGCTGCGACCCTTTCATACAGTTCCTCATGTTGCGGTGACCCCAACCATGAAACTATTTTCGTGGCTACTTCTTAACTGTCATTTTGCTACTGTTATGAATCGGGCGACTACCCACAGGTTGAGAACCGCTGCAGGTGTGGCAAGCCGGCTTTACAATTATGCTACCTGTACGGCTCACAGGTTGCCTATTCTGTCACAGTGACACGAGTGTATAGTACTTGTTACATCATGTAAAAGTACCTTTTAATCTTGTTCCGTAAGTAGCTAATTCAAACAAATCAGTGTACAGCCTGGCTTGTTTGCCTTTTAACATTGGAATCAGTACAGTTACATAATCATATGTTAGAAAGACACTGATTTCTTCCTTCTTATCTCTTGCAGGATTTCTGGTAGGTCCTGTTTTAGGACAAGATGAGATGAGATACTGTTGACGCATCCGTCTGCTTGGATTCACAGAGAATTGGAGCTTTTCCACTGTGAAGCTGTTTTTCTGGCCTCGTAAACTGAACTTATGAAACCATGGCAGAAGGAAAGACAGAGTTATCTGGGCCCAAAAAGTGTGGCCCATATATTTCGTCTGTCACGAGTCGAAGTGTGAACTTGATGATTCGAGGAGTAGTACTATTTTTGATTGGAGTGTTTCTTGCTTTAGTATTAAATTTGCTTCAGATTCAGAGAAACGTGACCCTCTTTCCACCTGACGTGATTGCAAGCATCTTTTCTTCAGCGTGGTGGGTGCCACCATGTTGTGGCACAGCTTCAGGTATGTGTCAGATATTTCTGTACGGCATAGAAGGTGTAATGCTTACACGGTACTGCTTAGAAGTCTAAGTATGGATATACTTTATCATGGACCTGTGTTAACTGTTTGCTATGTTTAGACAAATGCATCGTCATGTAACCACCAACACAATCCAGATATCTAATATTTCCCTACAGCCCCCCCCCCAGTTTACTCTGTGCCCTCTAGCAGCTTATTCCTTACCCCTAATACCAGACCCCCATTGATTTGCTTTCTGTTGCTCTGTTGTCATCTTTGGGTATTTTCTAACACTTGATATAAATGGATTGTGGAATATAGAATCTTTTGTATCTGGTTGCTATATGCACTTGTCCAACGGGTTCTGACTCATAGCGGTCCCATGTACAAAAGAATGAAATATTGCCCAGTCCTGGCCATCCTTATAATTATCACTGTTTGAGCCCATTGTCGCAGCCATCTCATTGAGGATCATCCTCTTTTTCCGGACCCGCTACAGAACAGGGTGCCTTTCCCCAGGGACTGATCCTTTCTGATTATGTATCTACAGTACAGGAAAAAGATGCACCACCCTTGCCTCCAAGGAGCACTCTGACTGTACTTCCAAATCCAACAAGGATTTGTTCTTTCTCTTGGCAGTTCATGATAGAGTCGGTCTTTTGGCTGGCATCATGATTGAAAGGCGTCAGTTCATCTTCAGTCTTACTTATTCATTGTCCGGCTTTCACATGCATGTGAAGTGATCAGAAATATCCAGGCTTTAGTCCTAGGCCAGGCCCACCTCAGTCTTCAAAGTAACGTCTTGGCAATACTTGAAAGAGATCCTTCGCAGCATATTTGCTCAGTGTAAGGTGCTGCTTGATCTCCTAACTGGTGTTTCCATGGGTGAGACTGGTGGTTCCAAGTAAAATACAAATCCGTTTCGGCTCAGTAGTGCCGGGACATCGATCGTTAGCGTGGCTGGGATCGGGGTGTCAGTCCCCCCCCCCCCCCCACTAATCCTGGGTTCAGTGGGCACAATTGCACGGTTATTATAAAGTCATAAAGAGCTTGAGATGTGGGAGAGAGTCAAATAATGGAGTCAGACACATTTCATGGTAGCGTGCTCACCTCCTGGAGGGCCGTGATCCTACCAGCCAGGTCCGCGCACAGCATAGGCTGAGGCGAGGTGGGGCGTAGACCCGGCAGGATACTTGAGTACCCGGCAGGAGGTTGGAGCCTCCTGTAACCAAGGGTTATATCTCTTTCGGGGACATATTTACAGGTAACCAAACATCATAGGAAGGGGGTGTACCATAGGCATACACATCATAGGAAGGGGATGAGCTAGGGGTGTACACATGATAGGAAGGGGTGGAACTAGAGGTATACATGTGACAAGAAGGGCGGACCCTAGAGTCATGATGGCGGCCTAACCTTGGCCACCCTTGGGTGGACTTGACCTCTGGGGTCTCCTACAAGGAAGCAGTCTACTATCCTTATCAGAAGGGATAAATAGTGGTGGCTGCTTGCTCTAGATGGCTGATAGCTCTTAGGGAGACTAACCCCTGACCTGCTTCTGTTGACCTCCAAGTGTATAGTCATTTGCATGCAGTTAAGTATGGCATATATTTGGGGGAGACAACTTGGGAGAAATCCTTGTTTCCCACACTTTAGAATTCCATTTCATTTTTGACAACTTTCAGTGTTCTGGATTCATACATCGTTCGTTCCACATTCAGGTTATTGACAGATGTTTGCACCTGCATCTTCTCATTTTGACTCAAGCCACCAACAGCAAATGAAGGACCCAACAGCTTCTTCCACCCCCATCATTAATGTCAGCTCTGCTCTCAGGAGGCAGTTTTCTGTTGTATTTTGAATGCCTGCTGCCTTAGGGCTCATCTTCCAGCATTATATCAATATTCTGTTGCTGTAAGACTCCAGAAGTAGATCACCAGGTCCCCCTTAGTATATCTTAGTCTGGAAGCTCTGCTGAAACCTGCCCACCATGGGTGACCCTGCTGGTATTTGAAATGTTAGTGACCTAATTTCCACTATCACAGCAACACATAAGCCACCACAGTACAAATACTGACAGATGCGTGGTGGTCTGTCTGATGCGTGGTGGTCTGTCTGATGCGTGGTGGTCTACCTGATGCGTGTTGGTCTGTCTGATGCGTGGTGGTCTTTCTGATGCGTGGTGGTCTACCTGATGCGTGGTGGTCTACCTGATGCGTGATGGTCTGTCTGATGCGTGGTGGTCTGTCTGATGCGTGCTGGTCTGTCTGATGCGTGCTGGTCTACCTGAACTAGGGATCATTAACATTTTATCCTAAATATTTTAGAGTTCCTTTGGCAGAGGGCATTTAACCCCTTAGTTACTCCCTTTCTTCAAACTGGCTCCTCTAAGTCTTATTTTAGATTATCTTGATGACACCATTGTTTAATAGTAAGGTTTTGATTGGGAAATTATTGTCTTAATTTTGAAGCAGTTGAAAACTCAAAAGCTGAAATAGGTTTATTAAGAGTGAAAACCTCGTGCGTTGTTTTTAAATTTTTGAATATTTGCTTTATCCTCTGTTGTCTCTTGCTTTAAAATGTATTTTAGGAATCATGAATAGGGGAGGGGTCAGTGGTGGGTCAGTGATAGAATTCTCACTTTCTATGTGGGAGACACTGGTTTGATTCCCAGCCAACGTACCTTCTGTGCAGCTACCACCTGTCAGTAGAGGTTTCAAAAGATGATAAATAATAAAGTTTTAGAAGGAAGCCATCTTAAAGAATAAAGATTATTCTCATTGACAAAGAAAATTGCTTTTTCAAATGTCCATTTGGTGTCTTAGACTGAATATACATGAAAACCTTGCAGTATAATTTAAGTCCCTCCTGGCTTACATCCTAGAATGGAAGTCAAGGAGGAGGAGTTAGGTGTAAAATGTTTTAGGATGACCTCCTGACACATATTGGACAATTATGAAATTCTGTTGCATGGATTGAAGTGCCCTGTTGTGGTAAGGATTCTATGTGGTTTATGTATTGATGCTTCATTGCTACAATATTTTCAGTATTGGTTTTGCTGGGAAAGTCAAGATGCTTACTACATGAAAGGGAAGATACCAGCATCCTGTTGGTTGTCAACGATGGAAACCAGCTTCTTGTGTAAGAAAGGAATTTTTCTCAAGAACTAATAGAAAAGACAATGCTTTGGGGGTGGATAAAATAACTATCCATTATTCATATGTTGGTTTACTGAACTGAGAGACTGGTGTGTTGCCGTGATGGTGCAAGCCATGCCACCAGCATTTCAAAGACCAGCAGGGTCGCCCCGGAGGGCGGCTTTCAGCAGAGCTTCCAGACTGAGACAGACTAGGAGGAAGGAGCTAGTGTTCTCCTTTTAGAAAGTGGCCACTGAAAACCTTGTGGCTTGATATGGTGCTGGAAGAGGAGCTCCTGTGTTTGGCAGGCACTGAGACTGCAACTCAGGGAGAGCTACCTCCTTAAAGTCAGCTACAGCGATGCGGACGGAGTTCACCTTTGGGATGTATATTTTCTGCGGTGGTATAACTCCAAATGCAAGGCAAAAAGCTGCAAGCATCCATTATTAATCAGAACATGGAGTATATGAAGTTTCAATCTAGGAAAACTTGAAGTTATAATAAATAAATTGGGACACGTAAAGATTGGTATCTTAGCCATTCCAAGAAAGTAAACCCACTGCTGTTGTGGTTGATTCTGACTTCTAGTGACCCTGAAAATAAGAGGGTTTCTGCTCCTATGGGATTCCTTGTGGGGAAAGGACACCTCACCTTCTACCGCAGAGTGGCTGATGGGTTTGAACCACCAACCTTGAAGTTCTCAGTGAAAGCATAACCTACTCTACCACCAGGGCTCCTTTCCTAGCCAGTTTGACCCAGACAATCATATGGTCTACTATTGTAGGAAGAAGGACCCCGTGACACTCTCAGGTGACAAGATTGGTGATTCAAACCCACCAGCCATTCCTCGGAAGAAAGTTGAGACGTTCTTCTGTCAGTTGAGCCTCTGAAAGTTTGTAGAGGGCTGCTAGGCGTCTGATTTGATTCAGTGGCGGTTAGTAATGGCAGGTGTGAGGAACTTGAGAGAAACAGAGTCAACCCTACCATTAGGATCTCTCCAGAAGTACAAGTCTGTCAGGGATAGGATAATGTCTATTAAGGAAGACCGATGGATATGATTGCAGTTCTAATCCGAGCAACAAGCACTGAAGCCAAGGATGAAGAAATGGGAGGTTTTACCAACTCCTGAAACTAGTCAAACATGCAATCCGTGTACCTTACTAGCTTCTGGTGATCGGAATGCAAAAGTTGGAAAACAAAGCAGGATTGGTGATGTGAAAATACAGTCTTGGTGATAAAAAAGGATACCAGAGAGTCTGTGATAGAATTTTGTGAGACCAGTGATTTATTTATTGCAAATACCTCTTTTTTCTCCAACAACATAAGTGTAATTATACATGGGAATTAAGTCTATGGTATGCATATTAAAAGACAACAGAGAAGCTCAGTGTCATTAGAACAAGGCCAGGACTGGTTGTGAAACCGATCATCAATTACTCATGGGCAAGTGCAAGATGAAGCTGAAGCAAACCCAAACAAGTCCACGTCAGCCAGAGGACGACCTTGAGTGTGTCCCACCTGAAAATAAACAGTCTGAAGAGTAGATTTGACATATAGATCACTAATGGTCAAAGATCCGAGAAGTGACATACCTGAAGAAACCAAACTGTATAAAAAAGAAAGACAACCCGATTGGTTATCAGCAGAAACTATCTAGCTTGCTCTTGAATGTAGACTAGCTAAAACCATTGGAAAGAATGAGGACGTCTGAGAGCTTGAAAGAACATTTAAAGGAGAAGCTAGAAAAGATGAAGCAAAGGCATTATAATGCAATGAACAAAGGCCAGGTGTTAGAAAGCGCAAAAGGGCGAGCTACAAGAAAGCCGAGCGAACTCGAGAAGAGGTTGTGGAACACGGGGTGATATT